AAAGCGGCCGGCAAGCTCTTCCCACCGCTTCCTCCCTTATGGCGGGACAAGGATGACAGGACCGGGAAGCAGAGCGGCGTCAGGAGCCTGCCGCGGTTTTGCAGCGCTGCTAGCTCAGTAACGCACCGAAGGCGCGGTCTGAGCCTCGGCCGGCTCTTTCTAATGACTTGGACTGTTTGGGAAAGCCCGTGCCACTGCTGCTGCCAGATGCCAGCGGTGGGAGTCACCGTCCCCTCTCAACGCCGCTTGCGCCCTTTCGTGCTACGCTTCGGAGAAGCGGGGCTGCGCAAGCGTGACCCAAACAACCCCGAGGAGTTCAATCCGGCACACGGAGCTACCGTTCGGCTGCCCTAGAGAAAGCCAGCGTGTTCTTAACCAGCCCCGTGCCCGAGCACAGGGCGCGTCGAACCCACCGTGCGACACGGCCAAACCGAACAGCAGTAGGTGGAAGAGGGTCAAGAACCAAGGATGCGGTCACCACCACTACTCTGGAAAGGCTGAGGTTCCTCTTCACTGCTAGAAAATGGGACCTCAGGGTCTGAAGGAGGACAGGGCTGCGGCAGACGGGGCTAGGTTTCAGTTTGGGAAGACTGACACACAGAAACTGAGGCTCGCTCGTGCCCCCAGGCTGGGGAGAGGGGGTGACACGGCTCCGCGCAGGGGTGCGGGACAGGGCTGCATCCGTTTGCTCACAGAGCTCCTCGGAGAAATGGCGTTAAGAGAAATGAAAAGCAGCGCTGGCTGGCTACGGGCGAGGAGGACGGAGGAAGCTTTAGGCGTGCCACAGAAGGTGCTCCACAACCCTTTAGCCAAAGGGCTCTGAGCCGAGCACAGCCCAAGGCCCCTGGAGCCACACATCCAGTTCTGCAATGGGATATTCCCAGCACAGCAAGCGGGTGCAGACTGCCAAGAAATCGGACGTGAGCTGGTCACCTGTCACCAGAGGGGATGGAAAAGCGCAAAGCCGTTCGGTCTCATGCAGGGGCCACATTTTAACATCTCCCAGCAGCAAAGTGAGTGGCTGAGGGTATGCCAGGCTACGAAGGAAGGGAATCGGGCACCCGAGCCAGGTGCCACGAGGAGCTCGGCAGCGGGGTTGTACTTTCTCATTAGCACTACGCAGCGCTAGCGAGAGGCAGAGGCACCGACATGACTGAGCTTGCACCTAACCCAGTTGGCTCCTCTTGCTGGGACTGACCTCAAGAAAACCCCCAGGCTCCTGCTCGTTTCTGAGCTGGAACGGTTTAGCCGGTGGCTTCCATGTGAATCCCTGAGCACCTTTGGCTCCTGCCCAGGGAGCTTCGTGTCCTTCCTCTCGCTGTGCCTCTGTGACAACTGGGAACTACGGCCAGAGTGCCTCAGAGCTGCCCTGAGAGGAGGGATGGAACCACGGGAGAAGTGCGAGCCCCAGCCCGGCCCGCAAGAGACCCATGAGAACAAGCGGGCACTGACCTGTCTGTCTGCGCAGGAGAAGGTTTTGGGTTCTGGCCCCTCTGTCGCTCTTGCTTGGGTGAAGAGAGTCTCCCGGTCGCCTTCCTGTCGCGAGAGCCTATCGGGAAAAGAAAAGGTGAGATGTTCTTGCTCATCGCCAAGATACGGGGTCGCTACCCTGCCTACCGTACCGTCGCAGCAGCGTAAGGATGTTCTCTTCAGACCCGACCAGATCTTGCCAGCAAAAAGCCAAGTCCAGCAGCAGCCAGAAAAGGAACCTACTGTTGTGCACCCTTGTCTTCAGGGGGAGCAGAAAAGCTAGTCAAGGCTGTGCCCCGTGGTCAGCTGTACAAAACATTGCCTGCGGGGAGCTGTGCTGGCCCTCTCCTCACCCTCCGGCTGCCGGAACAAGGCTCCTCCACTGCACTTTTAGGCTGAGCTTTGCTTGCAAACCTGCGGGGCAGGGCTGGCCCTCGCGGACCAAGTCAGTGCTCCATCATCCCCTGGCAGATCGTCTGGTTTGCGCGCAATGGGCACAGCGGCACCCGAGCTGGCTCCGTGCTGGCCAGATAACAGGGTGGATTGGCTTAAGGAGCGCTGGGCGAGCGCAGCTCTGCCGCTTTGGGAGCCAGCTGGTGCCAATCCACGTGCAGCATCACCCCCATGTTTGTTCAGCGCAGACTGAGCCATCGTGCCCTGCCTGAACAAAGCTGCTGTGGCGACTTGCCACTGGCGGGGAGCCCGCTGGGGTCCTGGCAACAGCATTATCCAGCTTCGTTGCAGCGGGTTTCCCAACCCCTGTTATCCCAGTGCACAGAGACACAACTATAGCTGGAAGGCAGCCTGTGTGCCCGCAGGGCTGCCTGCGAGCCCCGGGGACGAGCCCAGCAGCACGCCGTGCTATACTGGTGCTATACGTGCTGCTGATCTCGCTTTCAGCGAGTGTTAGGGCAGCCCTCTGCTCCTGAGGACTGACACCGTCAGAAAGGCAAGGCTGCAGACACTGCAGATCTGATCGCAGCAAGGCTACAGAACAGGGGAGCGAGACTCGGGGCACAAACACCGACCCAGCTTTGTGCTGCGACGCCGGAGCGCAAGCTGCACGCCGGAGGGTGCCCCTTGCTCAGCCCCAATTCAGTTAAGGGTACGCTTGCCACTGGGAGGTCAGGCTGAGTTGCCTTCAGGGCTTGCGTCCCATTTGCCACTGCTTAAAAACGCTTTATAACGTAGAAACAAATAAAGTATATAACAACATCTACATCTCTGTATCTATAAAAATCAGCACAGCTTGCTAGGCTGGCCCATTCATTTGTCTGCAGCTCAGCAGTAGTTGTGAACTCAATCCTAGTGAACTTCAACCTCACCCAGTCCCTTCCAGGCTGCCTTTGCAGGAGTTGAATGCAACGAGATTATTAGCACAGAAATTTCTTCTGGCTGGCACCCAGAGTCAACAAGATACACCTACAGCTGAGACAACAGGGAAAACAACATCACGTGTCAATGCTGGCGTGTACGTCAAAACCAGGCACCTCTGGCTGACGACTCCCCCGCTTCGTTTTTCAGCGGCGACAGCAAAAGGCTGGAGTGCGGCATTTAGGTCCCTTGCGACGCGGCTCGCTAGCTCGGCTTTCCGAGGTGCTAACGCTGCTGCTGAGGATTCACAGGCAGGAGAACACTTGGAAAGCCCGTGTCTTTCTAAACATACAGGGCAGATCAGATTGTGTCACGCACAAGTGGGGAAATCGTGTCGTTTCGCAGGACGGGTGATATTGCCAATTACTGCATCCATCCCGGAGCCTTGGCAGCCCATGTGCCCTTTCTAAGCACTGCCACAAGCCTTTCTATCAGAGAATTAAGATCCGTGGCGATGCACTGAGATACAAGGCAAAGAAGACCCTGGGATACGGTAAGGGAAAACTCCATGACTTCCACAGCCACATCCAACACCATCACCAGAGAATAGGAGGCCGCTATGGGACGGATGCGTACCTAGAGCGGGAGATGAGCACGCTGTGTCTTCAAAGCAAGGGCTAATTTTTTTTTTTTTTTTTTTTTTTGCAGTGGAGTTACACAGACATAGTGGAGCCAAGGTACTCACAACGTGCACCACAAGACAGCTAGGCAAGGCCGGGTTTGGCCTGCCCAGGGCTGACCTCACCTCGCTTACTTCACAAACCGGAGCGTCTCACCTCCACCGTGTTTTTTGCAGCAGGACGGCTAATACACCCGCGTTATCTGGTGGCAATCGCACACTCTGAGGTTTTGGAAGGACACATGCCCGCAATTAACCTCTTCAGCAAGTGGACGCTTGCAGCAGAGACTTTCACGGGACATTTGTCGCCGGAGCACCGCCTCGAGCGGCAGAGCAGGAAGCCAGCCAGGCCAGGAGTCCCTGGGACGGCTGATGTCTCACCTCTGTCAGGTGACAGGTTCGCCCGTTTGGCTGGAGGAGAGGTCGGCCTGTCTTTGTCTGCTGGCTCGTATCTCTTCCTACTTCCTTTGTCAGCTGCCTAAAATGAAATTAAAACAGACAATGGAGCTGAGCAGCCACTGGGGAGGGAAGCAGGCAGAGATATTTCCTCTGACGGGCGCTCACGATGCGCTGGCTTGCTCACCCGCGTCTCCTATGAAACTCTGCGCACACCAGTCCCAGCCATCACTGGCACCACGTAATCCCCCTACCACCGTAAGCAAACAGCCACATCCTCTGGCACCGGGGCTAACGCTGTGCCGCATTTCATGGGCTATTTTCATAATTGCCAGAAACAGGAACTAGCAGCATTTTGTAGAGGGTTGGTTTTTTTTTTTTCGGCAGCACCAAGGATAGCAAATGTCAAGGAGGCATGCGGAGCCGTGCTTTCTTCCAGGATCTGACCATGCCAGCTGGTAGTTATGCGTAATTGCACACTCCTCCCCACGGAGCATGCTTCACAGACTCGATAAAGGCGCCTCACGTCACAGCACAGGGAAGTAGAGAAAACTGCGGCCTCAGACTGCAATGGGGAATTTGGACTGTCAGAAAAAAACATTAACGCTTCCAAACCAGGAACCTACTCACATGACTGGGGCCAACACCCTGCTCCAGCACAAAACCCCACGAGGCTGAACTCTCCCACATGATCTGGATTGCAATCTCGGCCGAAGGCACCCAACTGGGGCATTGGGCTTAGTCGTAAAGGGGAAAGAGCCAGGCTCCCTGCGGAAAGCGTGGCTGGCAGCCCGCACCCCAGAGAGGCGAGGCAATTGCCACTTTTACCTCCTGACTCAGTTAATGACTCGTCAGCAGTTCGTTCCGGAGCGGGCAGTGGGAGGAGAGCTCGCTCGGAAGCGTGCGAGGAGCACGCTTTCAGCGGGCAAGGCCCTGGCGCATGTGGGACTGCGCCGTGCACGCCTTCACCTCGGTGCTCCGGCTGCAGCCTTCGAGAAAGCGGGGAAG